GAATCCGATCCTTTGACCAGACGTGTGCTAAACAGTTGTGGTATCTCCCCTCTTGCCTTGGCCTATTCACATTTCCTATATCCTATCACGCCTTCAGTGTCACAATTTTTTACTTGCTTAATTAAATGTGGTACGATGTGCCCTTTTGAGCGGCTTTCATGAGAACCCTCCGAACTCCACGCTGGCCTTCCCACCCCTCTTCATCCTCATGCTGGGAATGTTGATCGGTTTGCCATATTGTTACGCAGACCTCCTTCCTTAGGTCTTACCACAGTGGAACTGCTTGTTTTGGTTAGGTTAAATGTTGAACAACAACGTTTGTGGGTTGGCACACAAGAGACTAGGGCATGGGAAGTCATAGACTTGATATTAGAGATAGAAACAGGATAGACGCGGTTGGCGATGGGAGCTGGTGTGCTGACAGTAGATTTTATAAGAGACGTGGTCCATGTGGCAAAGGCATGACCATAAGACTTACTCAGTGTTTTGGCCTCGAATTCGTCACCCAGACGCAGGGGAGGGCGAATAGCGCCTCGAGTGGCATAGATGGGGTGGCAGGGGTCCAGTTAAATATGTGAACCAGGGAGAGGGCAGACGGATCTTACTGAGTAAGAGAGAGACTGTGGTAAGACCTAAGGAAGGAGGTCTGCGTAATAATATGGCAGACGGATCAACATTCCCAGCATGAGGATGAGGAGGGGTGAGAAGACCAGCGTGGAGTTCGGAGGGTTCTCATGAAAGCGGCTCAAAAGAGCACGCCGTAGCACATATAATTAAGCAAGTAACAAATTGTGACAGTGAAGGCGTGGTAGGATATAGGAAATGTGAATAGGCCAGAGCAAGAGGGGAGATACCACAACTGTTTAGCACACATCTGGTCAAAGGATCGGCTTCACTTTTCTCTTTGACGAGTTGTAATATGGTGCTACGAATGGCAAAACTCCCTGACGATGCCGGCGAAACGTCTGGGAATGTCTATGACTTTCTCTGCTCTAGAATCTGGTGTGCCAACCCACAAATATTGTGGTTCTACATTGAACCTAATCAAAGCAAGCAATACCACAACATTTGTGGGTTGGCACACAAAAGACTAGGGCATATGAAGTCATAGACATAGTATTAGGGATACAAACAGGATAGACGCGATGGCGACTAGAGCTAGTTGGCTGGCCGTAGACCTGTTTGATCATAGACGTGGTCCATGAAGCAACGGCTTAAACATGAGAATTTCGCAGAGACTTTAGCCTTACGTTAGTTTCCCAGACGCAGAGTGTGGGAAATAACGCCTCGAGTAGCACAGATGGAGTGGCAGGGTTCGAGTGAAATACTTGAACCAAGGAGATAGCAGACGTATCCTATGGAGCATTTGGGAGACTCTGATAAGACCTATGGAAGAAGGACTGCGTATCAATAGGGCAGACTCTGATCAACATTCCTAGCACACGAGTGAAGGGGGATGAGAGTGCCAGTGCAGAGTATGGAAATTTATTATAAAATCCGCTCAAAAGGGCACACCATATCACATTTAAATGAGCAAGTAAAAAATAGTGATGGTAAAGAGGTGATACGAGGATATAGGATTGCTGATTAGCCCAGGGCGGGAGGAGCAATAACACGATTGTTTTGCGGACAATTGGTCAAAGGATAGGCTTCACTTGTCTAAGACTGACGATGCCGGCGAAACGTCTGCGAAAGTACCACATCCAAAGTCCGAATCTGGAAATGATCATGCACTAGGTGTGCTCCTCCAGGTCTTCCCACCATTATGATCAAGTTGTGAAAACAGGGTCAAACATATTCTTCCTCTTATAATTTATCCCTTCTAATCCGTAGCATGATTCCTCAATGCTGCACATATGCTTTATGTATGTAATGTTAATAATTGACCTTGATTGATTAAGCCATGACCTTATTACTGGTTTATTAAGCCTTAATACTGCGCCTATCTTTCCTCTAATTTTTCGATTTGACTAATATAACTTTAGCTAGATTAATCTGTGATCAAGATCATCAATTCATGCGAACAAGCTTTGGTTAGTACTGCAAAGTTGTTTGTTCGCAGATATTCTGTATTTACTATTTGTTTTGATTCGAAAATAACTGCCGCATTGCTATTGCCAGACCTACGCTTTATGTGGGCTTTGTACTAATTTTACACTATTGATCTCATTTTTATATGCGATTAAGAATTAATCTCTTTGTATATTCCAGGCATTCTCTGAGGCTGCCAGTCGACGGCGTCGCTACCTCTCCAAGTTGGCTGATAAGTTGTCTGCCCAGTTTTTATCAGCTGGACTTCAAGCAGCTATCTGGTCCGAAGCATGGGTCTATCAAATGCTCTCTTCCTGCTCCTCTGAAGCTGCTCGTCGTTCCAGACAAATCACACACTTGGCAGACCCTCCAGTATCGCTTCTATCTACAAAGCATTTACCTTCCCTCCCAAAAGCATCATCATCAACTCCATCTCACCCTTTGAGGTCTTCAGACCGACATACTAAAAAAACGCCCTTGCCCAAAGGTAAGTACGGCTATGAGTCGGGCATAGGTCTAGGACACATTATAATTCTTGATGAAGAAAGGGTGGTGTATTTCTCCCAAATTTTTAATATTCTTTTTGCTTTGTCATGTCATATGATTGCGATACAAGAACTTGTTTAGAGAAACCTCAATTTAACTCAGACTAGGTCGTATACCTGCTATTCTATGGTGAATATTTTAAGAAATGCCGTACATTTCATTTATTATAAAAAAACAAGGTTATTCATTCCTACTTCCTGCCTTTGACGTGCCATAGTTATTTTCCAGTAGACGAAACTAGACAAAGTTATGTGCT